CATCCTCGGTCCCTTTCGCCCCAGCTTTCAGGGAGGGGATGGCTTTGGAGGACTATCAGAGGTGAAGCTGTTTCCCTCCCCCCAGGCCTAGGCGATTCACGAGGCAGAAACAGCGTTCATGTTCCTCCTCCTCACCGCGTTTCTGCACCTCGAATGTTCTGTCATAACACAGCGTCTTTCGTGCAGACCGGACCGCTTTTGGAATTCGTGGGCTTAGGTGCCAGTAATCAGTATAGTTTAGTGGAAAGAATCCTAGGTCTAGAATCCAGGGTCTTGGCATTTTATCCCTGCTTTGTCATTTAATAGCTTTGCGGAATGGGTAGTCATTTCGCCTCTTCGAGCATCATTTTCCTCATTTTTAAATGATATGTACCACCTGTGAGCGTACCTCGCAGGGCTTCTGTGATGCACAGATCTGATCATGGATGTGAGTGCCTTGTAAACAAAGCATTCTATGTAATCACACTTCCTAATGTATTTATAATAACATATTGTACTTTTAGCCATAAAAAGTAATCTCGGATTTGTCACCCTGTCCCTGTCATTGTGGATTTTTTTTCTTCCCACGTAGGATGCTCGGCTATCAAGTGAAGGATTCCAAGATGGAGCAGCAGGACAACTTTCTGAAACGCATGTCGGGGATGATCCGTCTCTATGCTGCCATCATCCAGCTCCGCTGGCCGTATGGCAACAGACAAGAGGTAGCAGAAAGGCTCACTGCCAATGTCAAGAGGTCAGACCGTATCGGTATTCTGTCTGCGGGAAATACTGACCTTCTTTCAGAGAGGGTCTCTAGTTACATGAGTTAAGAAATACTGCTGCTTCATGTAGGTCTTTAGAGAAGTTGATGATGATTATTAGGAAGCTTTTAGATCATCAGAATCATTTGTTCAATGACCGACTCAGCTGAGGCTTTAAAGAACTGTTTATAAAAGAGTCTATCAGACAAGAGTCTGTTGTAAATCAATTATTAAGGTTAGAAGATTTTATTAGAAGGAGATGTAAGTGAGAAATTGTCATATTAGACCTATTTGGTGCCTTAGAAGCCAGCTAGGTCATGTACCTTACTCACAAATGGACAGATGGTCAGGAGGCTGTAGTGATACGCACTTGGCAGTGACAATACCACAGCCGGATCCAGGGCTTCGACCTGCCCGCACAGTTTTTTCCTCCAGAGATAACAGATTAGGAAAATAGAGGAGTTAATGGACTTGGAGACCTAAAGAGAAAAGAATCTAAATTGACTGAATCTAAGAAGTGTATATTATGCACCTGTTATGTCCCAGGTTCTATGCTAAAGTACCATGATAGTAAATGTTGGTTAGGATAACTGTTGGCCTGTAGAATCCCAGAAATTGAAGCTGACAGATGTATATTATATGGACACTGTAAAGAATGTATGGGTTCCAATGTATTGGAACATTTTAAAACAAAATTCATTTTGGCTTGTGTTATTTCTCCCCTGTGGCATGTGTTGGGTAAGATGATCTGGAGGTTCATGTCCACTTGGTAAGGGGTAGATAATTACATTGGGAATTTAGATATCTCAATAAAATCAGATCAAATCGTGACCAAGCCTCTCTCCTCCCAGATTCACCCTCATGGCTTACATCATGGCTGGCGCTGGTTGGCACAGATATTGAACATGGAGCCCCTGTCAGATGTGACAGCCACCCTCCTCTTTGACTTCTTGGAGGTATGTAATGCAGTTATCACACAAGGGAGACCCGGGGGTTAAAGCATCCTTGGGCCACTGCGTGACACAAATGGGGAAGCAGTATAGGGTGATGGTGAACAGCGTTAGGGTCCAGTGTCAAATTTTTCTTGAACCCTAAGACAAACCTAGCTTTAGATTTCTCTTCCCACTGTACCTTTTCTTCCTGTGTGGATATCTACTCATTGTAAAGGACAAAAAACTTTTCACATACCACATATAAAAAGGGGAATTTGTTTTAGGGATATAGAAGTGACTCCCAGGACCAAGGCTAGGATGTGCAGTTAAATCTCGTGAGGGCCTGGAACCAGGAACTAGAATGTCACCAGGTACCCAGAGTCTCTCTGGGGCCACGTGGTCTTTCATATATGCTCTTCCTGCAAGTTGCCTCACCCTTGTTCTGTAGGCCATCTTTCTCTGGTTCTCTTTGCACAGTGGAGAAGGTGTCCATCCTGCGCTCAGTGTGGTCACCCAGTGTAGTGAGACTAGAGTCCCACTATTGTGATTCCCGACTCCCAGAACAGAAAACGATTAACCAGCTAGAATCAGGCATCATCTTTGTCCAGAGACTCTGTGCGGGCCTGTCTTCTTATAAGGGGCTACCACTGTAGGGCGAGGGCAAAGGTTTCTGTGGAAAGGAGACACTTCTTAAAGAAAAGAGGCATATGCCGTAACAAATCTGGGACCATTTGGCCTATAGTGACCATTGTTTCTAGTCACCTTAAAGCTCCTGAAGTCACAGTACATGAACAGTGATCCTGAACCACTGAGAACACAAGTGGGAGTCTGTAAACTGCTTCCCGAGGTTGGGAGGTGGCCCCGACCTTTTGAAAGGCTTCCACTCGGTGGAATCAAAGAACAGTCCATTAAGTTTGGTTCACGTTTTCTGACATGACCGGCAGGCTGGTTAAATGGAGGTGTTGCCATGTACAGAGACACACTCTAGGAGAACTTGGACTTTTTTCCCATTCATTCTGTGGTCGCTAGCTAAGTGGCGTTGTGGCCGAAATTCTTGATAGGAGTGAAAGGCCGAGCACTGATCATGCTTTCTGGATCTCGCGCATGAGTGGGTTTTCATTCTCTGCTCCGGCGGGGTCCGTCTTTCCCCCAGGTGTGTGGGAATGCCCTCATGAAGCAGTATCAGGCCCAGTTCTGGAAGATGGTACTTCTCATCAAAGAGGACTACTTCCCCAGGTACTAGACTTTCTGAGCAGATACCAGGGATCCGGTAGGTGAAACTCATGACATCAGATACCCTTGGGTGTGGTCACATGCTGTTGTTGACTCAGTTAAAAATACCTGCACGAAGTGTGACATCTTCTACTCCCATCCTTCTCCTCTTTGATATTTGAATAAACACTTTCAAACTCTAATAAGAGTCTCTGTTAAATATCGTTGGCTAAATGAAAAAAAATTAGAAAGATCTCGGATTCGGATACCTGACATTTTTTTTAGCTCCATTCTTTTCCAAACTCCCCCAGATAACCTGGGATGGTGATTACATGCGCTTACGAATTAAACCAAGGAGTCAAACCCCCTCAGTAAATCAGTTGGAGAAACTGACTTGTCAGCCAGTTTGCTCGACTCCGTTGTGGCATTCACCTTTAAGGACCCTTCTCACGCCTCTCAATTCACTGGCATTTCAAGTGGGGGAAAGGCCATGGCAACCCCCGTCCCACCTGGTCACAAAGACCTCAGAAAGGAGAGTGCCCTCTTCCCCTTTACGTCCTTGTTTGAAAGGGAGGTTGAGACCATTCGGAAGATCAACAGCACCCTTAGTCTAGAGGACATCGCTGTGAGTCCTTGATCTACTCCTCCCCAGATCAGCAGGACCTGACTCCTCTCCAAAAGATGCGAATCGTAGGTGTGACTCACATGTCTTCCTTTTCTCCCTGTAGGATTGAAGCCATCACAAGCTCGGGACAGATGGGTTCCTTCATACGCCTGAAGCAGTTCTTGGAGGTAAGATGCCCTTAGACCGACACGTCCCAAACTGTCGTTGGCCTCAAATGTGCCTGTGTCCGACGAGTCTTGGACCTCCCAGATTCTGAGCACAGTCTCTTCCTCTGTACTTTTCTGAACCTTATTTTTTGTCCATAATTCCCCTTTAACCTTAAGGGCTGTCATTTCTCCTTCCTGCATGTCATTGCCTGTACTGCCTGTGGGGAAGCCACCCTCAGAGATGAAGAAAACCTCTCAAATGACTCTCGTGTCACCAGTATGTTTTTGGCATGTTAGCCAAGGCGATTTTCTCAGGTCTCAGGTCTGGGGAACTGGTGAGTGCGGTCACTTTTCTCCATGAGAACAGACTGCACTTTCAACCAGACGGCTCTCATATTTCCAAGTGCCGAAATTTTTAAGAGGTTAATTCTGACAAATAACTTAGAACTCCGTGGTATGTCTGCCAAGATGGCCCGCTGACTTCCAACGTCCCGTAGCCCAGTTGGGAAAATAGCAATAGCGACAGGCGAGGCCAGGCCGTGGGAGAGCAGAGTGGGGCAGGCGCGGTAACAGCGTGGCATCCGTCCTCCGCTGCAGTCCACGCACAAGCAGGAGTCTGACACACGACCAGCGGTCTTACTTTTACTTTTTTCGACCACTGTTCCGTGGGACTTAAACTTTCTGTCCCTCAAAGTGTCTTCCAACTGTAAAGTACTGGAAGCACCGTTATCAGAAAATCATTCCGTTTTCTTCTTCTTTCCCTGACCAGAAATGTCTGCAGCGCAAGGAGATCCCTGTCCCCAAGGGCTTCCTCACGTCCTCTTTCTGGCGTTCCTGAGGCCGTCGCTCCTCCGCCCACCGTCGCCGTTTTGTCGCGGAGGGGCGACAATAAAGCAGCTGCACGCAGCCGTGTTTGGAAGTCATGTCAGACTTGAAAATCTACTGATGCGTATTTTTATGTATCCGTACCTTGTGACTAGCAAGGGAGATTTTCACGTGTCACAAAATCTAGGCGGTCCGATGACACCTTCAGGGGTCCACATCAAAGAGTCAATGGATTTGGCATTTCTCACTTTTGCAGAAATTCTGAGAAGCGGTGTGTAGCACTCGATCCCGTTTTCTTTCCTTTGTCTCTAGTATCTTTCAGAAAGTAGGTGCGCCAGAAGCCTTTCACTCTGAAGTGAGCCCACCACTTCGACTCCCCACACCCCACCCCTACACTCACCCCTTGCCGCCCCGTTCAGATGAATTCCCAGAAACAGCAAAGACACATAAGGCATCTAGTGTAATAGTCGAGGCCCGAATTCTTACGTGCAAGTCTACGTTATGGCTGCTTTGCCTTTCTCACCTTGTGAAGTAATTAGAAATTCAGAGGAAGTGACTGATGTAGACATAAACACAGTCCTAAATGGCATCAAGGATTGCTTAGTGTCTGGGATGAGGACTGTTCCCACGTGTGATACAGAAGCAAGAAGCACTGTTTGTCCCCTTAGTTTGGGATTCAGTCCCTGCATGACTAGAGATGCATGAACCCGGGCAATTTTTTTTTTTACTTGTTCTGACTTATGAGTGATAGATTTGCCTGACTAAAGCCACTCCAAAAATCCGAAGCTCGGCTTTTCAGATGAGTCGAGATTTGTTTATGGAAAGATTCATTGTCGTGTGCCGTGGATCTCTTCCTGTATGCTAACCGGTGTCGTGTGTACCGATGTGCTTTTTTGGTGGGGAAGAGGATTCACTGGTGCTTGTGAGTGGCTACAAGTGACCCATTCTATGAATTATCGATTATGGTACCAAAAAAAATAAGTAATAAAGCTTGATTTTTAAAAACCCAGTGCTGGTATCTAGTTGGTTCGGTATGCTCGATTTCTTGTACCTTGAGCTATGTGTCAAGGTGGCATGGCAGTGCCCAGGTCTAGGTATAGCGTGATAGGCATTGTTTCCTTTTTTGTCTTCCTGACCTTCACCGCGGGAAAATTGCTTTTTTTCTGTCATTCCTGTTTTAGAATTATGTGCCAATAATGGCTTTATCTAGCAGAAACGGGGAAGTCTTAAAGTATTTTCATGTGGACACAATGAAATGAACACTGGGGAAGGAAGGAGTCAGGAGAATTGGGCTCGGTTCACTTTTTGGTCATTCACCCTCCAAACTTCAGGATCCCCACTGCAAAACAATTAGGTTTGGATGGCTTCTGGCTCAGTGCCAGGACAACCAGAAAAAGAAAAAGGGCACAGCGGTTTTCAAAGTGTGCTCAGTCACAGTCACAGGGCAGAGCCTCCCAGCCGCTGAATGACACTCATCCCCCCAGTCCCACGGCCTGCAGCGGGTGGAGCCCCAAGGCCCTTTGCCATTTACACTTCCTCTCTTTACCTGTACTATACAAACGGTGTCATTTTCTAAATATTATGACAGGGAACAGCTTGAGAAACGCTGACTTTTTGCTGCTTAGGTGGGGCTCGGCCCCTGTACTCCGGTCAGCATATGGAGGCTTTTGTGCGAATTTTCAAAAGGCAGCCCTTTCTTCAAGACGCTACTGCCATCTGCTGGAAAACTGTCCTATTCCTGAGTATGAAAATTTGTGATGCAGGAGGTGAAGTGCCAGTAGTTAGGCGGCTCAGGTTTTGCACAGCCTCTTAACAGGGCCCTAGTGGAGCTCTGGGACCCTCTCTGCCACCACATTTTGACCTTCTGTGCTGTATCTATTGGGGTTCCGTATAAGGTTATACATGGACAAGTTCCTCTGCCCCAAATGAAACGTGTGTGAAAAATCACTGACAAGGTGATCCCCAAGGTATCTGCCACTTTGAATTTGCGCCATTCTGTCGAAAATCCGTCTCCCACTGTTTGAATGTCCTACCTCTAGACGTGTGTGACAGTCTTGCACATGCCATGGGACACCTGGTATTCCTAATGGTTCTTGATGGTAAATCAGAAAGGAGAGCACCGCGGAGGCCTGGTTTTTGGTACTCACTGATAGTGTCGCCTTCAGAGATGATGGTTGCTCGGCATAGGTATGACTCCAGCTGGGGAGCAGCATTAGATTCCTTCCCGTAGAACACTAAGGGCTGCATTCCATTTTTAAATTCAAGTACTCACTTGCCTCCTTGCTTCCTGTCAGGCCTGACCTCATTTCTCAGGCTCGGTGCCCATATTTTTGTCATATCATTGTCCTACATCATTTTCAAGTAAATTTGATGATGAATTGAAAATTCCAATAGGAGAGAAGCCCTACATATCCCTTGAATAGAAGAATGAAGTTATTCTGAGGATTTCTACCCAAGTGTTGGGAGCTTCTCCCTACTTTTCAAGCTTCCTATGGTGACAGCAGTGACATAATTAGGTTTGGATGGCTTCTGGTTCAATGCCGGGACAACCAGAAAAAGAACACAGAGCGTCACACAGGTGTCTTACCAGGCCTGGAAGTACATTCCTTTACGTCAGTTCCGCCTAATGAATTCCTGATACTGTTTTTCTGCAGACCTGCAGGAAAGCAGATGAGAGCTGCGGTCTCAGCGGTGTAATGGATTTGCTAAGACACCCATTAGAATAAAGGACTATCCCCTAGGTGACAGCCAGGCTCTGTTTTTAAAAAATATCAGTTTATAAAGGTGACGGATTCCAGAAACTTTTTTTTTTTTGGCTCCTTCGGGATGCTTACACTAAATGTATTACATGATCCTGGATTGGAACCTGGACCAGAAAAAAGATCTTTCTGTGTGTTTGTCTTATAAAGGACACTGGGACAATGGCAAAACTTGAATGAGTCTATGTGTTAGGTAATAGTATGTCAGCATTAATTCCTTGATTTTGATCATCGAACTGTGGTTATAAAAATGACTTTCCTTGTTCTTCAAAAATACACATGATATACCTGGGGGTAAGTGGGCATGATGTCAGCAACTTATTCTCACATAATTCAAGGGGGAAAATAGAGATCTGTACACGTGTATTTTTATGTGTATACGTATGTAAGTATATACACATACACAGAATAAGAAAACGTGGTTGACTTAATAAATTAGGAGATCTGGGTAGAGTATATGGGATGTCGTTGTATTATTCCTGTAACTTTGCTGTAAATGTGATATTATTTCAAAATTAAAAGATAATCCTTTCCCCTCGCAAAAGAAACAATCATGCTTGCAGTCTGATGAGGGTACACAAAATCAAGCTCTAGAAACTACAACCCTGAAGACAGGCCTGACCGTAATGGTGACGATCACTGAAGCCATCACCTGTAGAAAGGGTGGAGAGTTGACACTAAACAGGTTTTACAAGGTACTTCCTACTTCAACTGAAACAGGTAAGACTTGGAGAGTGGAATTTTAATTCTGTGGAGAATGTAATTTACGGACTTGGAGGGCTTGATGGTTTGAGCTTAAAGTTATGGGAGCTCAAACGGCATGCAAATTTTATATTTATATTATGATCCATATTGCCAAATTGCTCTTCCAGAAAGGTTCTACTTACATAAACTTGGGTAAGATTCATCAGGCAGAAAGGAGAGGTGGGTGTCGGGCAAAAAGGATATTCTACTTGGAGGCAATAGCTATGAGCAAAAACATGAAGTTGGAAAAGTAAACCTGTTTAGGACGTGACTAGGATCAGGTCTGGAAAAAAGCAGCAGGAAATGGTCCCGTGGAAAGGAAGTCGGAACGTTTGTGGACGCTCCAGATCTATTTAGTTTGGCTGATTCTGTAGGCAATGGAAAGCTGCTAAAGTTTTTTAAGAAGGTCTGACATGGTTTGTGAAACTAATTCTAACTGTGTGCTCAGGATGAACAGAAGAGACAGCAATTGCTGGGGCCTAGGGTGCAGTCCCACAAGCATACACCTGTGAAAGCAGTGCCAGGGGAGGGAGGGACTCACTTCTGCTGTCACCTGCGGGGCTAATAAGCAAGCCAGTCTGTCAAGGCCATGCTCCCAGCAGCTGGCAGGCCTCCTCTCTGCTGTGCTCCCTGATTTCAGAAGCACTCACTGTATTGGGCTTTGTTTTTAAATTGTGGTAAAATATACATAACACAGAATTGCCTGTTCTAACCATTTTTAGGTGTACAGTTCGGTAGCATCGAGTACACTCATGTTGTTGTATAACCATCCCCACCCTCCAGCTCCAGAACGATTTCATCATCCCAAAGTGAAATTCCGTCCCCATTAAACACTAACTCCCCATTTCCCCTTCATCTCCAGCCCCTGGCAACCCCTGCTCTACTTTCTGTCTCTATGAATTTGACCGTTCTAGGGATCACATGTAAGTGGAATCTACAATATTTGTCTTTCTGTGTCTGGTTTATTTCACTTAACAGAATGCCTTCAAGGTTTGTCTAGTCACTATTTTGAAGCTCTGTGTTGTTCCTTGCCAGCTCTGACTGCAGAATGTCATCTAGGACTGACAAAGGGCAGTCCCCTAGCCAGCATGACTCCCTTGTCAGGAGGAAAAAAGTGGAAGTGCTGCTGCTTGCTTGTTAACTTTGCGTGTGTACGTGTGTGTGTGTGTGTGTGTGTGTGTGAGAGAGAGAGAGAGAGAGACTCCCAGACATAGAGCAAGTAACTTTCTGTGGCCAGAACATGTGAAAACATCATTACATTTAGCGTATGTCCCAATGGTTGACCTCTTGAACAACTCGAAAAGGTATTGGGACTACCTAGATGCCTAAGCCTAGGGTGCATATCAAAACTTCAGAGAACAGGTGGAATAAAAAAAATTAAAATACAGTCCTACCCCTGCTTTGCAGGAGGCCTGGAAAGTCGTGAGTGAGAACATGGAGTTGATTGATTTCAGAGCTGCTACACTGTCCTGTGCTTTTTTGTTGTTACAAAGAGGGCCATTGTCTGCTTTGTCCTCTCCCTCTCCCCACACCTAGCAGAGTGTGAAGCATGTGGAGAAACTGGTGGGAGGTGAGGTAGGCAGACAATAGAACACATGAAGTACAGTTTTTTAAACGTCTCATTTCTAGTGCCAGTGCTGAATGGGGTGGGTGAGTGAGTGGGAGGTGGAGAGGCCTGGAGATACTGTTTTTGGCCTTGACTCAAATCAGAAGATCAATGAATAAGATTTTAGTTTCTGTGTCAATATAGAAGCTCTCTCTAAGATCTCCAATCTGTTTTGCATCTAGCAAAAGCAGCAGAATCCCTCATTTCACTATGATGCCAGAGTGATTTAAAAGAAAAATCCTCCATTTTATATAGCTCCTGCCCACAGCCTTGAGACCCGTTCTTTGCAGGAGCAGGTCTTAGATGGAAATTTTGGAGAGCTGTGATTGTGTTAGCCATTTTGCACCTAAAGCTGAATATTTGATTCAACATTCACTGCTACCCTCTGTAGAAGAGGCTGTGGACGCCATCGGCTGTTCCCAGAAATGCACACCCCAGGGAGGAGTCACCCGGTTCTGTTTTCTCTACATAAAAGATCGCAGGAAATGCCTCCTGGCTCCTACGTTTTTCCTCCAGAGTCTGTAAAGCTGCTTCTGGGGTGTGGCCGCTCTTTTTCTCTCCACTCCCGTGGAATGAGGGACTAGGGGAATTTTTCCTTACTATCATGGCTACAGCCAGGGTGGCTTAGAAACCAGATTGCAGATCCCAGGCACGCGGGAAGACGCCAGGATGCAGAGGACCAGATAGCTCAGGGCTGGGCTGGGGCCCAACTGCTGGTGCAGTGCCCAGTGCCATGGCTGCTTGGTAACCAGGAGGCTGAGGCCTTCCTGGTCTGCCTGCCTGACTGCACAGGAATGATCTGGTTGTTACTCCCAATGGCTTGCGCCAGGCTGTCACCCTAGCAGGGGCGGGGAAAGGGTGTTTTAAGAGGGCTCTGGGTACAGAGTTTAGAGCCAGGCC